CCCGCCTGCCATCTCGCGGGGCCCCAGACCCAGGCGAGGGGGGCGGGGCCTCGGAGGCCGTTCTCGCCTCACGGCAGTTTGAAGCCAAGCCGCAAAGTGCGGTCTGCCTGCCGATTGGTGGACGCCTGCCACGTGATCTGTGCGTGATCCCACCCACAGCGCTCCAAGATACTTGGGCTCTTGCCAGCTCTTTACGTGCCAAAGGACACATTCCCTTCCATCCCGGGTGAATGGCGATGAAACACTTAAAGTCTGTCTCGTAGACTGAGAAGGGAGAGAGAATGGATGCAAGTAGGATCCATCTCTCCCACCTCAGTCGGCAAGAAAGGATATCTAGGGTCTCCAGCTTCGGAGGCCGGCGGGAAGCGGGTCTCAATGCGCAGGCGCCGGAAGGGAGGCCGTGGGAAGGAAAGCGGGAGCCGGCGACTCCCGAGGCGCCACTGCGCAGGCGCAGGTCTTTGCGACGTCGGCCGACTCACGGCTGTGCGGCGGTGTTCCCCAGCCAGGTGGTTCGGAGTCCGGTCTTTCTGCGGAGCTTTTTCGTGATCATCCGTCCCTTCAGGAGTCGGGGGTGCACGGGGGTCGACTCAGAGCCTTGTGGGTTCCTGAGCCACGGTCACCCGCTAGCCCTGAAGCGAAGCGGGAAGCACACCCACTCGGTTCCTGCCTGTTTTTAACCAGTTGCTCACATAAGCACCTTTTAAAAGTGAAACAAGGGCTCCTGACTTGGGGCTCTGAGCTGGGAACCCCAGAATCAGTGAGACCGCACATTATTCTGTTGGTTATTTTTTAAAAATATATATTTTATTGATTTTTTTTTTTTTACACAGAGGAAGGGAGAGGAATAGAGAGTTAGAAACATCCATGAGAGAGAAACATCGATCAGCTGCCTCCTGCACACTCCCCACTGGGGATGTGCCCGCAACCAAGGTACATGCCCTTGACCGGAATCGAACCTGGGACCCTTGAGTCCGCAGGCTGACGCTCTATCCACTGAGCCAAACCGGCTAGGGCTGTTGGGTTATTTTTAAAATGAAGAAACAGTTACGTGTGAAAAATGGAATTGAGTTGGGTGATTATAGAATAAGGTTTTAATCGGAAAAGTGTCAGCTGGAATTCTTGGAGAGGAAGAAACAGGCTACATCGAATCCAAAAGCTTGGAAATAGACCAAATGTCGATCATTTGAGAGGCCCCGATAAACTATGGCATCTTCACATAGTGAAAACCGAGCTCTTGGAAAGAAAAATTGAGGCATCGCTTTACTAAGTGAATTTTGAAAATCATTAGACTAACTCCTGATAAATACCTCTAGTGCCTTCGCTTCTCATTCAAGAAAGCCTGAAGTCCTTAGAGTGGCCTATACAGCCCTCGGATGTGGCCCAGTTGGATGACTTTCACCACTGCTCACCCTGTTCCGCCTTCTGAACCTCGAACAGGCCCCGCACCCCTTGCTTCAGGGTCCTGTCACCTGTTGCTCGCTCAGACTACTGCAGTCCCTTCCTCACCCTCCTTCCCGGTCTTTGCACAAATGCCACCCTCTCGATGAGGCCTTTCCTTATGTCCAATCTCAACTTGCTTTTCCATAGCATCTATTGAATATATAGGTATATTGAATATGAAGTTACACACTCATTGCCTAGCTCAGGAAGAATGTAGGAGAAAGTTGCCAGTGATTGCTTCTGGAGAGAACAATGGGAGGCAGCAGGGTAATATTAAAATTGATCCTTTTTTCTCTTCTTTTCTCTTCGACCTGCATTTAAAAGAAAATGAGCAACCGGTTTGGCTTAGTGGATAGAGCCTCTGCCTGCGGACTGAAGGGCTCCAGGTTCGATTCCAGTCAAGGGCATGTATCTTGGTTGAGGGCACATCCCCAGTAGGGAATGTGCAGGAGGCAGCTGAATTGATGTTTCTCTCTCATCGATGTTTCTAACTCTCTATCTCTCTCCCTTCCTCTCTGTAAAAAAAAATCAATAAAATATATTTTTTAAAAAATAAAAAAAGAAAAGAAAATGTCACCAGAGAGGACCTGGCACAGGTATGTTCTGAATGCTAGGCATTATGCTTGGCCCTGGGGTAGAGAGACTGCAGACAGGATACCTCTTCCAAGGACTCAGTATTTGTTTAGCCAAGTCCACAGGAGAGAGAGCACACAAACGCCAGGGGGATAGCACGTTCCAAAGCATGCAGTCTCAGTGGATCCTGACAGCCCTCTGGGGCCTTCCGAGTGGCAGGGATGGAGATACGGAGAGTGGCGGTGAAGATTTAAGGGAAGAGGCAGAAAACAGTGGAACCACAGCCTACAGGCTGTGTTTGATGCCAGGCTAAGCAGTTTGGCTATTATCCAAGGAGTGGGAGACACTACAAGGTCTTAAGACATTGACACGGCTGAGATCTGAACTTAGCTCATAAAGATCTTTCTCCCTGGAGAACTGGAGATGCCTAGGCTACAGGTGACAAACTGGTGGCATACAGATTTTTAAAAAAATATATTTTATTGATTTTTTACAGAGAGGAAGGGAGAGGGACAGAGATCAGAAACATCAATGAGAGAGAAACATCAATCAGCCGCCTCCTACACACTCCCCACTGGGGATGTGCCCACAACCAAGCTACTTGCCCTTGACCAGAATGGAACCTGGGACCCTTCAGCCCACAGGCCAACACTCTATCCACTGAGCCAAACTGGTCAGGGCCAGATTTTTTTTTTTTAAGTTGCCAACACAAGCGCATGGAACAACTAGAATTCAGTAGGAAAACTGTTTGGCAGTATCTTCTTTTAACACAAATCCTTACCTGAGGAAATGCTTATTGATTTTATAGAGAGAGAGGGAAAAGGAGAGAGGAAAACATCCATCAGTTGCCTCCTGTACCTGCCCCAACCAGGGATTGGACCCGAAATTTGTGTATGTGCTCCCACTGGGGAATCGAACCAGTGACCCTTCGGTGCACTGGACAATGCTCAACCAACTGAGCCATACCAGCAAGGGCAGTACTTATAGTATTTGTTTAGCCAAGTCCGCAGGAGAATAAAGATTGGGGATGTTTTGTTCACCATCATTTTATACCCTGCAGTTAGTATAGTGTCTGACACACCCAAGGGTTTCATACCTTAACAATTTAAAAAATTTTTAAATTGTACTAAAAGACCATTGCATAAAACTCACTTGCTTTCAGTGTAAAATTCAATGATTCTTAGTAAATCTACAGAGTTTTGCAATTGTCACCACAATCCAGTTAGAGAACATATAAAACCCCTGGAAAAAATTCCTCCTGTCCATTTTCAGCCAATCTTTGTCACACTCTCAGGCCCTAGGCAATCACTGATCTGCTTTCTGTCACTATAGTTTAAAATGTTTTACTCCTCAAAGAACATTTTTAAGAGAATGAAAAGACAAGCCACAGAATGGGAGAAAATATTTGCAAAACATATACCAGATAAAGGACTTGTATCCAGAATGAACTCAAAACTCTATCCAGTTATAAGAAAATAACTCAGAAAAAAGGGGGCAAAAGATTTCAACTAATACTTCATCAAGAAAGACATGAGTGACAAATGAGCACATGAAAACCTGCTCAATATCAATAGTCATGAAGGAAATACAAATATAGCAAAATAGTCTAATGAGATACCGTTACACACCAATTAGGATGACTAAAATGTAAAAGACTGACATTGGATAGGATGTGGAGGAACTGAATTCAAAACCTGTTGGTCAGAGAGAGAGATAAACATCAATTGGTTCCCTTCCATAGGTTCCTGAGTGGCAATTGAATACACAACCATTTGATGCATGGGAGGATGCTCAACCAACTGAGGCACTCTGGGCATGCTAAGATAAAGAAAAGAAAAATGTAAAGGTTATTTGGTTCTAGCAATCATTTTTTCTTTTTTAAAATTGGTTTTAGGGAGAGAGAGAGAGAGAGAGAGAGAGAGAGAGAATGATTGTTCCACTTATTTATGCACTTATTGGTTGATTCTTTTTTTTTTAATTTTTTTATTGCTTAAAGGCTTAAAGGGGTATTACATATGTGTCCTTTTTTTCCCCGCCCTTGACAATCCCCTGGCTTCCCCTACCCCCCAGTGTCTTATGTCCATTGGTTATGCTTATATGCATGCATACAAGTCCTTCGGTTGATCTCTTACCCCCTTCCCTCCTGCCCCCCAACCCTCCCCGGCCTTCCCGCTGCAGTTTGACAATCTGTTTGAGGCAGCTCTGCCTCTGTATCTATTATTGTTCAAAAGTTTATAATGGTCTCTATTATCCATGAATGTGTGAGATCATGTGGTATTTTTCCTTCATTGACTGGCTTATTTCACTTAGCATAATGCTCTCCAGTTCCATCCATGCCATTGCAAATGGTAAGAGTTCCTTCTTTTTTACAGCAGCATAGTATTC